CATTTTTGAAGTCAGGGCACGTTGAAACTTCGAGAAATTAAGGGTTTTTCTGTATATTTGGATGTTGATGTGTGTACGTGCGGGGCACGATTTTATTTATCCTCTTTGAAGCTTAATTTTTNTTTTAAAAAAACACTTTCTTCATTTTTTATTTGAATAAATATAATTAAAAAGTGCTTCATTTTATTACAAATAACACGAATTTCTTATTATTCTTTCACCTGGCAACCGTTCAGCAATATAACTAAATATAACACAGATGTTTCTTTTCGCGTGGCATTACCTACTCCTTACAGTTATTGTCATTCAATTAAAATTCTTATGTTCGTCATTTAAAGTATTATAAAATTGTTAACACATAATAAATAAATCAGTCAACGAATGTAATATTAAACTACAATTTAAATTTATTATTATTATTTAATTAAAATGCTGAAAAATCTTATAGAAGTGCCATGTTTTAAGATTTAAATAAGTGTATTTCATGGTCTATAAATTTAATTAAGTACTTTAAATTGAATAATATAAAATAGTTTGCATTGGATAAAAGCCGCTAAACACTGGTATTAATTACGAATTTGTGCCTCATCAATGGGATGGCCACGCCGATTTTCCTGGTTTTCACGTGTCTAACACATAAATATGTGCCAGTTTCCTATAGAAAGTGCTTCCGGGAAACATCCACCCTCCTGGCAGATGACCCACGTGTTGCATTACATTATTTTATCAACCTAGATGATTTTCCTGCATATGATAAGCTATATAGGCTATGGTAGATCCTAGGATCTACCATTGCCTAATAGGAGCTACCTGTAGGAATTACCTTAGCATCGAATGTTTTTATTGTCATTCTCAAGATGTGTTTCTATAATTTAATTATTAATAAATAAAATATTTTTCCATAAGTTGCAATTAACGAATAAGATCAGGCTACTTTAAACGAGACAATAAAAAGAGTTGAAGCCATTTCTTTTTTCAAGTTACCGTGTTTGTTTTCTTTGCCAAAAAAAAATATAGGTAAATGTGTCATCGTTGTCTAAGCTAATTTTAAATTTCAACAATTTATTAGCATGACAATGCATTCATAGAAGATTCTGAAGAGAAGAGGGGAAGATAGGATTTTTAATTAATAATTTAATGTTTGGAGTATGTTTAATGTTTAATGGCAGAAGAAAAAGTCGGGAGTAGAACCTACATTTAAATACATTATCATAATTTAAGTGTGGATCCAGCTCCCGATTTTATCCTCTACCATTAAACATTAAACATACTTCAGACATATTAAATTAGAATGAAAGAAAAATGAATTAAATTGAATGGTTGATTTTAATTAAAATTGATTTAATTCTTATTATAATTATCAGCTTACATTCATATCAGATGACAATCTTCAAACTTACTTCTGATTTGATTTTTCACTGATAAATATAACTGTTTTTATTGATTTACAATGAATATATTTTTAAACTAGATTATATGTTGCACAAATATTCTATATTTTATTATTTTTACTGAATATATGCGTAGTATAAGCAAGTATTATAAGGGAAGCATCGGGAATATGCACAGATCTATTTTTATACATATGTGTGCATAAAAAATAAGCCTTTTTAAATTTATGTATGCTTTTATTTCAGGTAGAAGAGTTAAATAAGTTTTATTTTTATTATTTTAAATGTTTTGTTAAGGGACATCGCTTTCGTTTCCCTTAATACTNTACAACATGGAATTCATATAAAACGGAAAAATCAACAGCGTTATAGGGGGACGACTGTATATTATTATTATTATTATTATTATTATTAAGTACTATTTTGTTTCCAAATTAACTCTGATTTCTGAAAATTTAAATTTTACATTTAGCCAATCGCATCGGAGTGTAATTAACGAATTTCTATTTCTTTCTACGCTTGCGTACATCGTACTTTTGTTAATTTCTCTTCACATTGGCAACGGACCACAATACAGTTAACATTATAATAAAAAAAGAAAACAAGAAAAAGAAAAAAAAACAACGAATGCAAGACAGTGACATTTGAATTATTAATTTAGTACTGCCATAAGTGAAATGGCCCATATATTTTTTGGCTCGACTCGATGCTGGTATTAACTTGGCAATAATGGTTGGTTGAAAATGTGTTATTCTCACAATTGAATAGAAAACGAGAATTTATTTACCACAGATTTAGTTTTATTAAAATATCATTTCTTCTGTACAAAATATAATGAATATTATATAAATATTTTTACTTATAGGGTCGTGAATCAAATAGATCTGTTTTGGAAATGAAAATAGAAAATATCTCATTAAAAAAAAAACAATAATTAAATGGTGGAATAAAACCTGTTTGTCCTACACGGGCCTTTCATTATTATACAATTCATAATATAACAGTAAGGACAAGTTCAAGTTTACATTTACCTACTTTATATTATTTTCTTATTAACAAATTATCAATTCAGAATTTCATTAACGCATTTTAAATAAAATAAAGTAATTTATAGTAGAATGTTTATAGCTTATTTGCATAATGTAACGACATTTTCCATCCAAAATTAATGAAATTGATTGAAATATGCGTGCAGCAAACATAGTAAGTTAGGGAAGAAGTCAATAAGAAATCTCGTATGTAATATTAAAAGACAGAAATGTCGATATAATGAAGAAATAAAACCAATAGAGTTTTATAAAACTGTATGGTGCTAGACAGAATTTCTCAAGCTAATCAGTGGCGAAGTGTATAAAACTGAAATTGAAACACGTGGGTTACTATTCCACGTGCCTAATCCCTAAACAGGGGCCAGTTTCCCCATAAAAGTCCACCTCCTCTTGGCAGATCGCCCGTGTGTTGCGTTGCATTATTTCATTAAACCGATCCATTCCAGATTATCTCGATGCTTCTTTACGTTTCTAAATTTATAATTATTATTAATTCACGAAAAAATTGAAAAAAAAAAATATACAGGTCTACATATAGTAAATGACTATATTTATGTAAATAAAATACCATTAATGGAAATTTCTATATAAATCATCAAAACATCGAAGCGATTGTTCATTTTCTTAGTCGATAAGCGACTTGAATCCATTAATAACTTTTCCAATAAGGATATCTAATAAAAATAAACCATTCTCCCTTCACTTGATACCTTAAATACTATAAATAATCTTGTAATTAGTTTTGCTGGATTTCTTTTTTTCTTCTTCTTCTTTATCTCTCTCTCTCTCTCTATACAGGAGGTGCTTTCAATCAACTTACTCGTGAATAGAACACGAAAACAGTATACGAAATTGAAACGGATGCTTAATGTGGTATGAAAATCCTCATATAGAAAGAAAATAGTTCATTGACATAGAACAAAAAAAATATATAGAATGTAGAACAATAGATTTCTTGAACTGTTCAAAATAAAGAAAGATCCCAGACAATTCTATTATTTATTGACACTTTGCCAGGTTGTCTGATAAAAAGGTTATCTGCTTTCTGTAAATTGATCCAATGAAGTTCTATGCCATACTGTTCATTCGTTATATTCATGTTAATGACAAGTGTTATATTAAAATATGCACTTATTTTTTTAAAAATTAACAGAAATTTACAAATTCATTTATCTTTATTAGCATACAAGTATTCACAAGAACTGTGCATTATAGCATAATCTTAAACATAATTTATATGATTGACTTTTAAATAAACTTTTCTGCCATTTTAATACGATTTTTCTTTATTATTTAATAAATTAACACCACTGACACGAATAATCTTACTTACTTACTTAAAATAATAACAATAAGTAAATTTAGGCCAAGAAAGAGAGCAGGACCACTTGGCCTAGATTGGCTGCTGGTCCATCTCTTTTTTGGACATAGAAGATACCCTTAAACTAGTGTTTTATCTATACGAAAACAATGTAAGTTATACTTTCTTTTGATAAAATGGTTGAAAAAAATTTTTTTTAATTATCTGGCCCTCGTCTTGTCTCATCTCAAGCCCTGATTATAACTTATATTTCAGTTGAAATATAATAAAACACATTCTTAAGCTAAGTCAAAACATTATTAAATAATGTTTTGACTTAGCTTAAGACACCCACCCAAGGGACACTTGTCGGAGAGCTCATGATACCATAATAAAGCCTCCTCTATGAGATTAAAATTTACCAGGAGACTATAATTGTTATGGATGGTCTTGAAACAGATTCAAACAGGTTTAATTTAAACAAAGATCAAAAGTAAAAACACCAAACTAATGATTTAAAAATGCTATAAAATGTAAATTATCTGCTTCATGAATTTTATTACTAATTTGTGGGTCACCACAATAGTTATCTACAAACCAACAGTACTCAATTCTTGAGCCAAATAATATTCAAATATATTATTTAAAATTGAAAAAACTAAATAGAATTTTAAATTTTATGTATTAAATATATATATATTTTTTATGATATAATATACATAAAAGGGCTAAATAATGATGATAAAATTCTCATTTAGATCTAAAATTTAAAATGAATCATCTATTTTCATATATATATTGTCTTTGTCTTAAAATTTTATAATCTTATTGAGAAATTATCTTTATATATGGATTTAAATGCCAGTTTATTTATTAAAAATTTCTAAAAATATTTTCTATTTTAGTATTTAATAAATTATTATTATATAGATTACAAAGTCAATTGTAAATACTGAGATATAACTTTATAACTATGGGCGTCCTCAGAAAAATTTTCCAAGGTGATGGGCAAAGCTTGAGATAAATAATTACATGAATAGATTTTTATGTAATTATTTAATTTTGGGGGTTATAAAGTATTGCATCAATACAAAAAGACAGAGAATAACTTGGTCGAGGGTTCAATCACTTTTACGATTATAATTTGTGGGATTTTTCACTCGATCCTAGGTGGAAAGGTCCTCCTTTGCCATCTCTGAGGATGCCCATATACCTACATAACCAATAAGAAATGAAATTCATATAGATTTACAATTATAGGTTGTTACAATTGCAACATACGCATTTTATTTTGCTTGTATTTTGGGTCGACAATATGTGAACAGTCCCGAAAAAATTCTTCAAGAAAAAGTCCCTTTTGACTGTTACTTTCCAGTCTTCACAGTTTTAGAAATTTTATTCTACATGGGACTTTTGAAGGTAAAGATTTCTCTATAAATTACATTAGAGAAATTTAATAAGAAAACAAAGTTTGAAACGTTTTTCTGATTTAGGTAGCCGAACAACTTATCAATCCATTTGGAGATGATGATGAAGATTTTGAACTGAATTGGATAATTGATCGTCATATGAAAGTAAGGCTATGGTGTGAGAGTTTTCACATTTTAAGGCTTCTTTCGTGCTATAAAATATTCTCGAATTAGGTTTCGTATCTGGGAGTGGATACATTGAACAGTGAACCTCCTCCGTTGGTTAAAGATTCTTATTATGATGAATTGGACGTGAAGTTGCCCTATACAGAAGCTTCTTTAAGTTACAAGAAGAAAACTTATCGGGGCTCTGTGGCTTACATGCAGTAAGTATTTAAAAATATTTTGCCTCCCCCAAGTAGAAATTGGGCTTAAAACAATTCCATATCTTTTAGAGTGCCGATGGAACAACAAGGATTAGTTTTACCAGATATACGCGAAGAGGAGGAGAATCGTGAGCAACAAGGTATGGGAAGCAGAAGACCATCAATTTGGACAATTTTTGGCAGCAAATTAAACAACAGCCAGCGACCCAGCATAACTGGAAGTTATGCCGAAGCCGATATCATTGCAGATTACGCTTGGAGACATTCCACGTCCAGTTTCAACGCTTCTTCCGAAAATGTCGCCCAATCCAATGGTGATCGCAAGAATTCTTCAGGTACCGGGGGGTAAGATTCTGCCCCATCCATATCAACCCAATATAGAACTAAAAAGAAAAAAAAAAGAAAGCATCTTAGCACTTCGTTTTTTTTGTTACTGAAATTTCTTCACCCGCGCCATTACAGTGCTAAGATACTAAATATTTAAATGACAAAAAATTCATTTTTTATTCGGTAGAGCCACGTAAAAAGTGGCTGATTTTTGATCTAAATAGTTATATTTAATAAATTTTTTAAAAAATCGATGGGGCATACAACTGTCAAATATCATGTTTCTTACATTGTATTTGACAGTCTAATTATTTATAAATGAACAAAACACTGGAATCTACTGAAAAAAAACAAAAACAATTTTCAGTAGAATTCAGTTTATAAGGCATTTTATATATACTTTAATTCAATTTTAGTCTGTAATTTAAAATTTAATCATTAAGTTTTTTTTATAAAAGAATTTATGAACTTGTAGAGAAAGATGATGTCATTTAAAAGAAATTAATTAGAAATACTTTAAAAAAAATAAGCCAATTTAGTAATAAAATATAAAAATTTTATGCAAACGACATTCTAGTTCAATAGAAACGTTACCGTGTGACTCAATTTGCAAATACATTATTCCGTTTTATATGAATTCCATGTTGTACGAGTCACTTAGATTTTACAAATACGTGTGCCGGGTTGTGAACGGCTCACATATTTGTAAAATCTAAGTGACTCGTACAACATGGAATTCATAAAAAAGGGAATAATCAACAGTGTTATAGGGGGGCCGATTGTATTTTCCAGGAAAAAAAAAAATTGTATATAAAAATAACGTTCTAGAACGTTTTTCGAATAAAATTTTACGAGAGTTTTGACATTTATTTAATGAGTAAAAAGGTTAATTTTGATGATAACCGCTTTCCTAATTCGGCCACGAAGATACTTAACACTAAACACTGATCACCTCGAAGAGACAAGCCATAAATCATGAAATGTTTACTTACATGAGCTATCTTCCATTTATCAAATTTACTTAAACTTCTAACTGGACAATGACATTTTCTCTATAACGAGATCGATTTCTGTTTATTTGTAGAACTCTGAAAAATTTTAAACAAATAAAAAATATATCATTCATTAGCTAAGATTAAATGAATTCGATTAAATTGATAAATTTTCAGAAAAGATAATTAATATCTTGTAAATAAATAACTAGAATCGTTCATTTATTTAAGATGAAAACGATTGAAGAGGTCATTCTTTAGCAGTTTTATTGGAAATTTTATGTATAGTCTATCTAATAAATATGATTTGTTTATCAAGAATATTTTATATCATGTTTCTCTACAGTTTCTTTAGAATATTTTAGTATTTTAACTGTCAGTAAATGCTTTATTTTAATGCAAAATATTATATATTTTAATCAAAGAATCAATTAGAAATTTAGTTATATTCTTTATTCTTATAATGTTAGTTAAATGGGAATCACTCGACATATTTCTTTCAGTAGTTTGATGTTTTTCACGCACGAAAAGAATCGTTCACAACGGTATGTACTACCCAACACGCATAACAATTTTCTAGATAAATTGACAATTTCATCAAATTAGAAAGAAATAAAGAATATAAAGCCCCCTTCCATTTAGGCATTAGGCCTAGCCTCGAGTCACTAAAAATGGCTGACACTCTTTTGAAAAGTGGGATTGGATCTTTTTCATCCGCCTAATGAAAGGCACCCAATTTTTATCATTAACATCACTTCATTAGAAAAATCTTTGAAACTGAAACAGTGAAAATGACAGACCATGCCACCTATTTTTTGATTGAAAAGTTACAAATTATACCACCAATTAAGACATCAAAGTGTATCCAGTGAAACCAGAAGAATTTTTACGATATACTTTACTAAATAAATGAAAATGTACCTAATAAATACGGCCCGCGGGCCACGCTTTGGGCCGCGGATTGGACATCCTTGGTGTAAATTAAGTGGACATTATCTGTTTTATTTTACCAAAAATCTTCCTGATTTGTTTCCTCGTATCTCTTGCTCCTGCTATATTAAAGATCTGTATTTACCGTTCCGTACATAAACATGTCACTTATTAATTAGCAGTGTTCAACATGATCATGTGTTATATCTAGAGTGTGATCGGACCTAATGAAGATTTTACTCCTTATTATCATTTACAACTTTTTATAAAACTTATCTGTATCCTCATAATTAAGCCGTTTGTCTTTTTATTGTAATTAACAATATAAAGGTTACTTTTAAAATGAAATCTCATAATAGCCGGAAAAGTTATGCAACTTGTGGGATGTTTTTATATATTTTAACGGGATTCGTTTATTGCTCGTTGTTTCAGGGAGTGGCAATTATTGTTTTAGCGACACCGCCTTTATTAATTAAACTAATAAAAGAATTGCGTATATTTATTCATCGAATTTTTAATATAGGAAAGATTAAATTGCATATTCTCGTATAGCAGGGATGGAGAACCTATGGAATGATCGCCCAAAGTGGCACGTAACGTACCATATGATTTCGTTTTATCCTCTGTCTTATCATCCTTTTTTCTATCAGCTTTTTTATATTTATTCTAATTAAAGTATATTAGTTTAATTTATTTAAATTTTGTTATTTGAAGTCTAAAACTTTGTCATACATAAACATTTTTAAAACTAAGTATATGGTACGTAGACTCAAAAAGGTTCGAAATCCCTGTCGTATAGGGTATAATTCTGAAAACTACTTTTCATATAATTATAATTTTCATAATTTAATTTTTCAGCTTCTTAATTCAATAGACAATTGATAAATTATTTTAAAAGATTCTTATGACTTTCAGTATTCATTTCCTTAAAGATCTGTTACAATTATTAGTTGTTCACTCGTAAATCGATCGTGTTTTCCTGGCTATTATTTTCAATATTTTTTCCTTCTGCATTCAATGTTCGATTTAAATTCGAACTATTAAGTAACAATTAACTAACAATTCTCCCTTTTATGTCTATGAGTAGTTGCTGAGAGAAGCGAGAAGCTTGGGCATGTCCTGTATTTTACGTAATAAAAAAAGACTAAATTTTGGGAGTGATCAAAATGGTTCTTCTAGTCCCATTATCTGAGCCTGAGTATGACGTATTTTTCCCCAACCCTCCTCTTATAACATATTAAGTTCAATCATTGTGGATTAATTTTTTACTTTCCAAGCTGAGAGGGAAAGAATGGTGATCGGTCAGGAAATGGCCCATCCAAAATTTTTACATTTTTGAAGTCAGGGCACGTTGAAACTTCGAGAAATTAAGGGTTTTTCTGTATATTTGGATGTTGATGTGTGTACGTGCGGGGCACGATTTTATTTATCCTCTTTGAAGCTTAATTTTTATAAATAATTCAGAATTCTTTAAATAAAATTTTGTGTATAAAAATAAGTTATTTCTATTTTATTTATTATTTTTTAATAGATATTTTAAATCATTCATTCTATTTGCAGTTGTTGTTTATGAAATTCATTTGGCAGAAAGTACTTCATAAAAGAGTTCCAACTGTACTTAAAAAATAAAAAAAATAAATAAAAATATAGAGAAACATTTAAAAATTTCATATTTAAATATGATTTTATTTAATTATGTATAAATTTTAATTAAAATTGATTTAATTCTTATTATAATTATCAGCTTACATTCATATCAGATGACAATCTTCAAACTTACTTCTGATTTGATTTTTCACTGATAAATATAACTGTTTTTATTGATTTACAATGAATATATTTTTAAACTAGATTATATGTTGCACAAATATTCTATATTTTATTATTTTTACTGAATATATGCGTAGTATAAGCAAGTATTATAAGAGAAGCATCGGGAATATGCACAGATCTATTTTTATACATATGTGTGCATAAAAAATAAGCCTTTTTAAATTTATGTATGCTTTTATTTCAGGTAGAAGAGTTAAATAAGTTTTATTTTTATTATTTTAAATGTTTTGTTAAGGGACATCGCTTTCGTTTCCCTTAATACTTCCAGATAAACTAACAAAGAAAATAGTAAATTCCACCATAAATTATATATATTATGTCTGATTATATATATAGTTTTTTTTTATTTAAATTTCAATATTTATGCAGCCAAAATAATAAAATAGAATAAGAATTATTGCTAAATTAATATAGAATTTGATCTTTCACACAATACATTTCAAAGTTTTTTTAAACTGATTACAAAAAAAAAATTATTTAATTATAATTTAATCATATGAATATTTTAAGTTTATAATTATAATTCTGGAGCGTTTTTAAAGGTAATAATTGTAATCTATTTTAATCTCACCTTACTGTTAGCTAAAGATATGGCTGTGTTCTAGACAGTTGACTATCCATCACGTTTGTAGTGACTACAGTGCTCTTGCCAAAAACTGTTTATACTATTTACTGGTATGATCCAACTTGTAACTGTCATTATGTAAATACCTTATTCTTCTTTTCGAATTTAATACAGGTTTTACAAACGTGGTCTCATGAAAAATTCAGTCGATAAAATTCGGCTAATTGTTACTTAATGGATATATATCTATAATGATAATTTCTATTGTTTCACTGAAGAAAGATGGGGGAGGCTAAATAATTCCTACAAATTAGTTGATTATGAAAATTTTCATTAAATCATTTGCAACATTTTACTTGAAAATACTTGAAAAAAAGACATGTTTGTTGATAAGTAGAAGATAAAATGGATCGAGACATTTTCCTATTGCTATGAATTGAATTAATGGGGTTAAAAAATTACATTATGGGCACATTAATTGACAGCATAAAATCGTTTAAAACTAGAAATTCTCTGATTCTTCTGAGTTTCCTCCACATTCTTATACTCTTATTAAAATAATTAGGTATTTCTGTAGAAATTTTTATGTTTTTTTCTTGCTTTCATAAATTAATAAATTAATTTTGGTAATGGAATGTTCTGTAGAATAAAAAATCGAGAGAGATTTTCTGAACTCATAGATTTTTGTGATTCAATCGAATGGTTCTACATTGTGACTCATTCTGTATACAATCCATTCTAAAAATATACATTTACAACTACAACAATTGCTTTTTAAACTGCATTAACTACTCAAAAATCCAAATTTTTCTCCTTATTATTATAGATTATTGCCCTAAATTAAAGAAGCATTTAAAAATATATCCACAGATGATAAGACTTTTAATATTACTACACATAGTTAGCCTAAATTATTCAACTCTTGCATTAAATTAATAGTAATCTACCAAATAAAATAAAACTTGTACATTATGTATTTATATTTTTCATAATTTTAAACATATGATGTTTAAAAGTAACTTGTCCTATAGGGTGAAACTATAGTGTTATGGAAAGTAACTAGGCATTGAGAGAAAGCTATAATTTTTGTAATAATAAAGCAAGAGCGATAAAATTTATGTGTTCATGTACATCCATCATTGGAATTTTAGAATTCCTGTATCGATGGTGTGAGCAGTGATCGAAAGAGGCTACACGAGCAGTGAAAGAAAGATAGACTCTCGCTTGTCTGTTTAGCAGCGAGCACAGATTATTGCACGCTACGAGGTATGGAAATCAGTGGTTGTTGTGCAAAAATGGTGGCATACAGCGAAGGAACGTTAGCCGTAATCTATCTAGAAACAATCAAGAATTTTCATTCGAAGCTAATGACCACAGGTCGCGAACGCACAGAGAAGTGGTTGTCCATCCACATCACAATCTGAGGAAAACGCATCACGATGCCAGTACGTACCTTAAATTTTTGATATGCATTTGTATTTCCATTAAGGTACAGTACATATCAAATAATTTTCATCATTTTTGCATAGAAATGTAGAAATTATAGCGATTTATCAATGACTAGTTACTTTTCACCCATCCTGTAGATCCCCCATTAGGAAAGAATAACTTATCTGGTACATACGAATGTACCAGATAAGTTATCTTTTGACGATATACATCATTGAATCTCATAAGGCCACATAAATGTATAAATTCAGCATACTTTTTCAAAGATATACACAAAATTATATTTTAAAAAATAACAGAAAGCATATTGTTTTTTACTTAATTTTTCTAAAAAGAATGAAGAAACAGTACAGCATAGAAATGAGTTTGAGTATCAAATAAGTTATAGGCTCGTGGATATAGCACGCGAGCTTCATAAAATTGGTAGAACGAAAATAAAATCGTCGTAATTACAATTAAAAATTTGCATATAACTTGCCCCAACGCCTAATCCGCACCCGTTTTAACTTATGTTTTACACATAGATAACCTATAATTTATACAAAACTACGCTATTATTAGGTGGCACTAGAAGCCACTAAAGCTATGCTCTTCCACCTTTTATCTAGAGTCATACGAAGGACGTTTGGTATAACTTACTTAAGAATACAGTATAAATTAATATTAAACTATAACTACATGAATCCTATTATTATCCTTGATTAACTTTTAATTTATTCTTTAACATTATATTGTGTCATAGATATTAACGAATAAATTAGAATATCTATTTACAGACTATTATTTCAGATTTTATGTTACTTAACACAATTTGGGAACAACAAGAATTACACATAATTTCCAGTATATGGGGCCAATTTCATGCTATTTTGTCTGAACTCTGTAGACATATTTAAAATTTTTAAATTACGGTAGAAGTTCGTTAAGTTGGCACTTCCAGAGCCGGATTACTGGCTATTGTTTATGATCAATCTGAAGATAACGGACTTTATAGTCATGTACTGTATCAAAATTGATAGAAAATCTGATCAAATCTATTGATAATGATCGATATGCACGTAATATTTACTTTCCAGACATGTACTGTAAACATATAATTCACAAAAGCTATACGTGAGCCGAATAATAGCATGACGAATTAACGAGCTTCTGCTGTATAACCAATTAAAAATGTAAAGATTAATTGGTTCTATAGTTTAATTAATATATAATAATCTTTTTTGCTCTTGCCACTTCTTCTATAATTACGATTTATCAAGTGGACAGATCTATTTTATCGATTGCTGTTTCTTTCAATTCCAGAACTCGCGATGGAGATTTATATCAAGAATCGTCCAGTCAAGACTTACCGGAATCGATGATGAAGTACAAAGATGCAAAATCGGGAGGTTATCAGAAATCGAGTGAAAGCGAAAAGCCACCAAGATCTCAGCAAGCGAAAAGAAATGGAAAATCTTATAAATCGCTGTTTAAAAAAAACAAGCAACCCTCCGTAGATCAATACTACGAAGTTTGCCGCAAATGGAAGATGAGATCTGTTTCTCCGTGCAAGACCATTAAAGAAAGTCACGAGCTACAATCGGATCCTCAACATCCGCATCCTTCCGTTCAAATAACGGTATCTTCGCCACCATCCAACGGTGAAGAATCTGTAAAACTAGCGGGAGGAAGACCCGTCCCTCTTCGATCTTCTTCGCTAAATATTGCGGATCTTTGGAGTAGTAAAAAGCCTAAGTTATCGGATAGGCGTCAGGCTTATAAAGAAAAGAAATCTCAAAGTAGTTCGTCAGCGTGCTCGCAAGATACGGTCACTACCGAGTTCCATAGTATGCCAAACGTACAAGAAGGAGAAACGGAAATTCCTGTAGAGAAACCTTGTACGCCGGTGAAAGAACCTAGACGATCTTTCTCTGGTCAGTCAAGTAGGGATCATAAGATACTTCGACAGAATGCCATTAGAAGGCCTTCCACAGAGAAACAAGAATCTAGTTCTAGCGAAGATTATAGATTACCACCCGAGATCCTTCCTCGGAACCTACAATCTTCGTTTCCGGAGGAAGAAGCCACGGATCCCGCGGGTGGGTACGAAAGCACAGAGAAAAGAGAAAGTAAACCAAGTAGAATAGAAGGGCCTCCCGAATGCCCTTCTAGAAAATCGCCGGCGAGAAGAAGTAGACCCGGCTCGAGAGAACAGAAAAAGGTGGAGAAGAGGAGTCGAGAGCCGGTAAGACAAAGATCCTCCGAATCTCCTACACCGCGCACTACAGAAACTAGTGTTTCGGAAGGTAGTAAATCATCGACAGCATCAATTCCTACTACTTCCAACGTCGTATCACTTACGATCGATAAACCGGACACTGTAATTTCAGTGGAAGACAGACAAGAGTTCGTATGACGAAAATCTCACAATATTTACGATTAAAAAGAATTAACTCGGGGTCGAGTGACTTCGTAGCGGTCTAACCCCGGAAGTTTGATGGTAATAAAGGAAACGGGTGAGTATCGAGCGTAGCCATTCCCTAAGCGAGCCAACAGACGGAGATTTAGGGAGATGGCATATAGAAGAATCGTTAAAGGAATGTTTCAAAGGCAGTCAACGACGGAAAGACGTTGCCAAATGTTCACTTTTCCCCCTTCCTGTGATATATGCGCCATTCGTTGGTCAACGGGTTGTTTTTCTTTCTGTTAAGAAGGATGACGTTCCGACAGAATTTTCCTACCTTCTTTTTTTTCAACGGAGAAAGTATTTATACACATAGTTGTCGATATTGTATATTTGAATAAATGAATTTACTGAAAAAAGATTTATTTTTTAACATTGTGAAAAAAAGAAACATTCGAATTTAATAAAATTATATTTATGATCAGAAATGATTTTATCTTTTAAATATTTTACATATAAAGCTTAAATTACGGTTGGATATTTTAATCCGGGCAGAAAACACCAGGAATTTTTCCTGATATATGGGGCTCTGTCTCGTTGTGGGTCGGTCAGGCCCACAATGGGTATGATTTAAAAATGTCCTCTTGATGCCCACGGGGTGGAGAAAATGTAAGGGAATCTTAGAGTCAATATAAATATAATGTACTTTCGAAAATATCAGGACTGATCTTATCAGACTTTTCTTATTTCTATTCCTATTATTATTATTGTTTTAATAACAATATAAGGATAGAAATTTACTTTTAAAACTCCTGAACAGAAGAAAAACATACATTATTTAGGCAGAGAAGACACCAATGGTAAATTTTAAGTTGTTGGTGCTCTTCTCACTGACCAATTTGTAAAAGAGTAGAAAATCTGGTAGCAATATGTAGAATGTTTCTTTATTAACGACGTTCTTAAANTGTAAATACTGAGATATAACTTTATAACTATGGGCGTCCTCAGAAAAATTTTCCAAGGTGATGGGCAAAGCTTGAGATAAATAATTACATGAATAGATTTTTATGTAATTATTTAATTTTGGGGGTTATAAAGTATTGCATCAATACAAAAAGACAGAGAATAACTTGGTCGAGGGTTCAATCACTTTTACGATTATAATTTGTGGGATTTTTCACTCGATCCTAGGTGGAAAGGTCCTCCTTTGCCATCTCTGAGGATGCCCATATACCTACATAACCAATAAGAAATGAAATTCATATAGATTTACAATTATAGGTTGTTACAATTGCAACATACGCATTTTATTTTGCTTGTATTTTGGGTCGACAATATGTGAACAGTCCCGAAAAAATTCTTCAAGAAAAAGTCCCTTTTGACTGTTACTTTCCAGTCTTCACAGTTTTAGAAATTTTATTCTACATGGGACTTTTGAAGGTAAAGATTTCTCTATAAATTACATTAGAGAAATTTAATAAGAAAACAAAGTTTGAAACGTTTTTCTGATTTAGGTAGCCGAACAACTTATCAATCCATTTGGAGATGATGATGAAGATTTTGAACTGAATTGGATAATTGATCGTCATATGAAAGTAAGGCTATGGTGTGAGAGTTTTCACATTTTAAGGCTTCTTTCGTGCTATAAAATATTCTCGAATTAGGTTTCGTATCTGGGAGTGGATACATTGAACAGTGAACCTCCTCCGTTGGTTAAAGATTCTTATTATGATGAATTGGACGTGAAGTTGCCCTATACAGAAGCTTCTTTAAGTTACAAGAAGAAAACTTATCGGGGCTCTGTGGCTTACATGCAGTAAGTATTTAAAAATATTTTGCCTCCCCCAAGTAGAAATTGGGCTTAAAACAATTCCATATCTTTTAGAGTGCCGATGGAACAACAAGGATTAGTTTTACCAGATATACGCGAAGAGGAGGAGAATCGTGAGCAACAAGGTATGGGAAGCAGAAGACCATCAATTTGGACAATTTTTGGCAGCAAATTAAACAACAGCCAGCGACCCAGCATAACTGGAAGTTATGCCGAAGCCGATATCATTGCAGATTACGCTTGGAGACATTCCACGTCCAGTTTCAACGCTTCTTCCGAAAATGTCGCCCAATCCAATGGTGATCGCAAGAATTCTTCAGGTACCGGGGGGTAAGATTCTGCCCCATCCATATCAACCCAATATAGAACTAAAAAGAAAAAAAAAAGAAAGCATCTTAGCACTTCGTTTTTTTTGTTACTGAAATTTCTTCACCCGCGCCATTACAGTGCTAAGATACTAAATATTTAAATGACAAAAAATTCATTTTTTATTCGGTAGAGCCACGTAAAAAGTGGCTGATTTTTGATCTAAATAGTTATATTTAATAAATTTTTTAAAAAATCGATGGGGCATACAACTGTCAAATATCATGTTTCTTACATTGTATTTGACAGTCTAATTATTTATAAATGAACAAAACACTGGAATCTACTGAAAAAAAACAAAAACAATTTTCAGTAGAATTCAGTTTATAAGGCATTTTATATATACTTTAATTCAATTTTAGTCTGTAATTTAAAATTTAATCATTAAGTTTTTTTTATAAAAGAATTTATGAACTTGTAGAGAAAGATGATGTCATTTAAAAGAAATTAATTAGAAATACTTTAAAAAAAATAAGCCAATTTAGTAATAAAATATAAAAATTTTATGCAAACGACATTCTAGTTCAATAGAAACGTTACCGTGTGACTCAATTTGCAAATACATTATTCCGTTTTATATGAATTCCATGTTGTACGAGTCACTTAGATTTTACAAATACGTGTGCCGGGTTGTGAACGGCTCACATATTTGTAAAATCTAAGTGACTCGTACAACATGGAATTCATATAAAACGGAATTATC